CCAAATCCAAATATTGCAGCTGTTCGTACAGGGCACAACTGTGACCTTTGACATTAGCTTTTACTTAGCTAGGATGTGACTTTTGACCCAGAGAATATGTCCTTGGATCTGCTTTCACGAGTTGGGCCCTGGCGGGTGACCCCTCTATGCTGCATTTGCCGAACAGGGTCTGAATCGGTAAAGGCCCTTTTACTCTCGCCAGCCTAGTTTTGAAGTCCTCTGAGAAAAAACCTTCATCTATCTATAACACTTATTCCTCTTTTAGCTCTTTCGTAAGCCGATACAATATGAGGTGCAGACTCTAGCAGATTTTCTCTTGTGAACCAGCGATCTTCACTTGGGTCCTGATAGGCGAATCTTACTTTATATTGTCGCTGGGGTCTGCCTCTTCGTCCAGTTTGGAAAGTGCTTTCAGCAACAATCTTATCCACATCATATTTCCCATCCATACTAGGAGGTATCGCCAATCTGCGACTGGGAAATAACTCATTTGTTACGGAAGGTAAGAGTTTCGAAGCGTGGAATACTGGATATGTATGTAGATGTAGAGGAATCTCTATAACATATGAAGGACCATCCACATCGCCAATCACATCTAGAACTTGCCAAGGTCCTCGGTAGGCGGGTAGTAACTTCTGAGAGATGTTCTCCTCAGGAACAAACTCTTTAGATTTAACCCAAACCAGATCACCTACAGCAAACTGTGAAGGTCTTCTATGCTTATTTGCCTGTTCAATCATCTGATGTTGTGCTTTGACAATATTTTCCTTTACTTTTTCAATGTCTTTCTGGTATTGAATCGCAAATTCGCTAGTTCCTAGTGGAAGCTTATGCACTTGATCCGGGTTTAGCCGATCAATAGGCCTGCGCGGACGCCATCCCAGATGCAACTCCATCAGAGTCTTGCACGTAGATAGATGAACAAAGTTATTATAGGCGCTAGCAACTTTGGGCAAATGTTCGTCCCAGTCAATCTGGTCGGGACGGATATACATGCGCAGCGTTTGCTGCAAAATCTTGTTCATTTGCTCAATCTGACCATTAGTCTTAGGATGTCTACCTGAGGACATAGTTAACTTAGAGCCATAGACGTTCATTAGTTGCTGCCATTGTTCACTTGTGAACCGTAAGTCTCTGTCACTCACAATTGTCAAGGGATGTCCATAGTCTCTCACCCAATGGTTAAAGAACTCCCGGATTATCAATTCTATTTTTCCCTCCGCTGGTAAAGCTACGAAAACAACATACTTACTAAATCTGTCTACGATTATCATTATTTGCGTCTTCCCATTCCTGCTTTTTACCTTGGTGTCCATAAAGTCAATGGACACAGAGTCTCCTGGACCCGTTGGAATAGGCAAAGGCTTAAGTAGACCAAGGGGAGGCTGTGTGGTGCTCTTATTTCTTTGGCACACTGGACAGCCTTGCACATATGCAATGCATTCGGGTTTCATGAGAGGTCAGGTGTAGGAACGCAAGAGGGTTGCGTAAGTCTTCCTCCACCCAAAATGGCCCTCGGTGTCGTGACATTCCCCTAAGATCAAACTCTTGATCCCTTCCACATTCGGAATACAAAGCCTATCATGCACATCAGTCCTTTCAAACAATAGTCCTTGCGTGATACAATAGTTAGGAAACTCTGTTGACGCTTCTTGCACACCCTTGAACATAGCGCCATATACAGGGTCAGTGGGATATGCATTTCTAATTTTTTCTTGCAAATCGGTGCCCACGTTTAAATATGTTATAGTGGCACCAAGGAAATCTGATCTTCGACTCAATGCGTCGGCGACAACATTATACTTACCCTTAACTTGTTTTAGCTCAAAGTCATATTGATCAATCTCAGCGGCCCACCTCGTCAATTTAGGTGTCATCCGGGCCTGTGTTTTAAGCCAGCGAAGTGTTTCATGATCCGAATATACCTTGAAGTGGCATCGTAAGAGATAGTGTCGCCAGTGATCCAAAGCTTCCCGGAGAGCATACAACTCTCTTTCATATGTAGAAGCGGTGACCTTCTCGTTAGGCAGTCGTTGGGACATAAATTCTACAGGCCTGTATCCATTTCCATCGTTTTGTTGGAGTACAACGCCTATCCCGCACTAACTGGCGTCAGTCGTAACAACAAAGGGCAAGGAAGGGTCAACAACCTTTAAAACCGGGTAGTTAATCAGACATTTTTTTAGAAGTTTAAACGAAGCTGTACAGTCTGAATCCCACGTCCAGATGGTTTCTTTTTTAAGTAATCTGCAAAGGGGCGCAACAATTATCATGAAGTATCTCACAAACTTCCAATAGTAATTGGTTAGCCCAAGGAATGACCGCAACTCAGTCAAAGTGCGGGGATTAGGTCAATCGCGAATTGCCGCAATTTTCTTGACTTCTGGTTTGATCCCATCACCATCAAGCACATGCCCCAAATACAAAACCTGACGCTCAGCCCATTCACACTTCTTCGAGTTTAACTTTAACTTTGCCTCACGCAATTTATTTAGCACAAGTCGAAGGTGCTGAGAATGTTCTTTCAAATCTTTACCAAAAACCAAAATATCATCCAAATAAACAATGACAAATTTATCAAGCCACTCGCGAAAAAGTTCGTTCATAGTTCTTTGGAAGGTTGCAGGGGCATTCGTAGGACCAAAGGGCAACACAATGAACTCATAGTGCCCATACCTCGTTCTAAAGGCAGTTTTGTATTGGTCTTCCGACTCTACCTCATCTGATGGTAGTCGGACTTCAGATCAATCTTCGTGAAATATTTGTGATCCAGCAGATCATCTATCCGCGGTAACGGCTCGGCATTCTTTACAGATATTTCATTCAACTTCCTATAATCTATGCACATGCGTACCCCACCATCCTTTTTAGGCACAAACAACACAGGCGCACCATAGGGCGAGGAACTACGCTTTATCCATCCTTTTTTCCAGCAATTCATCAAGCTGGGATCGCAGTTCATCCAACTCTTTAGGTGACATTTCGGTAGATGGCCCCCTTAGGAATCGAACTTCCTGGGATAATGTCTATGCGATGCTTAATGGGTCTCTCAACCACACCGCTTGGGGCCTCTGCCACATCTGCGAACTCCTTCAGAAGTTTCTCAATCTTTGGGGACTTAGGCTCTTCCGTAACTTCACCCTCTTTTACTGGGCGCACATATGCCACAAAGACTTGGTCATACAAGTTGTACTTCCTGACATGGCGAGCGAACGCTGGGGCACTCATACGGCAATGAGCCAAGCTGCTTTCCTTACCTGATTCATGGAATAGGCGGATTCTCTTCTTTCCGCGTTGCGAACTACGGAGCCAACACTTATGGTCCCTCATCTTTATGTCCGCATTTGCAGCTTCACCCCAATCCATACCTAAAAGAATGTCAAAAGGAAGATTATCTTCCACCAAGAGAGTCAGAGAGTGGAGAACGCGTTCCGCCTTCCCCTCTGCTTCGAGCCGGAAGTATATCTTGACCCCTTCAACATACTTATCCATCACAGTTACTGTACTATTAGCTAGTTTACTTACTACGGGCTCATCTAATTGCTTAACCTTTAGCCCGAGTCGCAACTTTTGCAAACCTTTCTTACTTATATAGCTGCGTGTAGACCCACTGTCAATCATTCCTCCTACTCTTATTTTATCGACTTCAAGATCTGCAATTATTAGCTGTCCTTTACGTTTTTTCATTTCAGTCCAGGCTTGGCGACGAGCGGTCAACTCATCACCCACGCCAGCGAGGAATCCATCTAGAGAGATGCATACGCTTGCCACCTCTGGACAATGTACTAGATGGGGACTGTCTACCTCTTCAGTTTCTGTCAATGGGACCTTCGAATGGGAGGATTTTTTTTTTTCAACACCCGAAGTCCCTGTAGAGGGAACTGGAACCTCTATTGGTTGTTCCCTTTTGCCACCTTATAGTCAGGGCAATAAGGGACAATGTGATCGGGGTCCCCACATTTAAGGCACTGGTCGGCAACTTTCCTTTCCTGCCAAACTTTCTCTGTGATTCCTAGCTTTTTCCAAGGTTCCCCTTCGGGTAGACCCTAGATGTGGTGGGTATGGCTTATCCCACTTGTTATACCAAGTGCCTCTTCCTCTTCCCCAGGCAGAATTGAAACCATGGCCACCTTGCGAGGGACCATTGCCCCTTCCTCTCACATAGTAGTTACCTTCACTACTACCCCTCTGGGTGCCGGATCCCCTTCCACCACGTCCGCGGCCTCCTCTTCCTCGGCCACGACCTCGTCCTTGTTGCCCTCCCACTAATTGTCTGTTCTCTTGCACAGGGCGAAAGCTGGAGTATTTACTTGTCAGATGCTTGGGCAATACTCTAGTCACAATGCCACTTCAACACAGTTGATTATGCCCTATGTCGTTTCTGCAATCTGACGTGGCAACCAGCCACTACCACCAGTGTTCCCCCACTTTCACTACCTCCTACAGATGTCAGATCAGGGGGGAGGTAGAAGAGAGGACCAACAGAACTCTGACCACCACTACCTCTAGTGTGACCAGACACTTGTATCCTGACTCCAGACCAGACCTTGGGTAGACAGCAGCAGCAGCGACCACCAGAGAGGGGAAGAAGAAGAGATCACACACACACACAGCCAGGTAAGGGGAATGGAGGTCCTCTCTTTGAAGCGGCCGTCGATGAAGCTCCTCGTCGCTCCGCACTCCAACGCTCCAGGTAAGTAATCTTCTGCCCCTTCCTCTTCGGCTTACTTCTCCCCCCAGATCCCAATCCACCTCTCTCACGACTCCACCATCGCCAGCATCATTATCAAGCCAGCGTTCTCTTCTTCTTCTCACCGGCCTTGCTCATGCCAGCGCAGTGAGTGCAACAAGCTTCTGCTCCGATACCAAGTTTGCAAGGGACCTGACTGTCCTCCACTTGCTGGAGTGTATCACAATGCATGTAACGTCATCATTCACACAGATTATGACTCAACACACACAACGCAGAATGGGGATGAGATGAGAACCAAGTCACACAACTTATATTATCTCAAACACATTATAATGAGTATCTCGAGTTCATGAATCCAAGCGCTCAACAATCACGATATGTCCCTCTCTCGAACAACAGCTCAATGGGGCCTGGCTAAGCCAGCGCCACCTCTCAGCAACTCGTCAAACGCAGGACAGGTAAGTAGTCACCATAGCCAACTCGTTAACCTGTCTCTTTCTTCTCTCTTCCCTTCCTCAAGATCTCTGTCTCAGTCCTCTTCTCTCATCTACTTCGAGAATCTACTCTGAATGCTACTCACTGAAGACTAAGTCCTATCCCACTAACTATACTAGCCAGTAGGGCTGCTATGGCTGCCACTTGCAAGCCAGCGCCCAGTCTTCTCCTTCTTTCCCAGCGCAGCTTCTTCCTTCAGCGCTATCCCAGCCATCCAGCGCACAAGTGCATGCAGCACTTCCACGCAATACTGCCAGTGGGAATCTGATGTCAAGGGAGGCTGGCCTATTGCTTTATACTGCTGGCCTCCTCTGGCGAGGTCTGTATTGGCACTTTGGGCCTCCTTCAGTCCCAGACCCATGCATATGTGTGCGTCCCAGTATTTTCCCCTCAGACTCTGCTGCTGCTGCGGCCATCTGGCCTGGATTTCGGACTGGGTGTCTGAATGTAGACCCCCTATTAGAGTTGGACAGAACTGGGAACCTGCCATTTGACTTCCTTTTGG